CTGCAACAGCAGATGCTGAGCTCAAGAAGTCTCAGCCAAAGACCATGGAATCAGCGATTGACTATCTCCTAGATCCCATAGCAGGCAACAATGCCAAGGGTAGACAGGTACATGGAGTAGTCTGTTTGCATGTAGATGACCTGTGCATGGCCGGTGATGACACCTTTCGTAAGGCCGTGATAGAATCGATCAAAAAGGAATTTGCAGTAGGTTCTGAAGATACGAATGATATTATGTTTGTAGGACAGAGATTAGTCTGGAAGGATGCTACAGCATCAGTACCAGCACATATCTCAGTAAATCAGAACCTAGCTGTCGAAGCTCTAGAAGAAATTGTTTTTGACAAGAAGCTCAACAATGAGCAACAGTGCACACCACAGCAGCACACTGCTTATAGAAGTGTTTTGGGACAGATCAACTGGCTACAAAGCCGGACTCAAGCTCACATCTGTTATCGCTTCAGTAGGTGTGCAAGCAAGGCTGCCAAGCCTACTATCGGTGATATTCGAGAACTGAACAAACTTGTTAGGATTTTGAAATCTACCGAAGTAGAACTGCGTTTTTGGCCGCTGAAAGGAAATCTCAGAATCCTCGGTTACCCTGATGCTTCCTACAGGAACAATGATGACAAATCATCTCAGAGAGCACATGTTATTTTCCTTGCTGAAGATCGAAATCCGAAGCTAAAAGGAATGAAACAATCAGCAGCAGCTGCTTCTTCCAAGAAGAATGATTTCTCTGAATCCTCTATCAAGGAAACATCCTCGAGAGGTAGCCTGGTGGACTATGAGTCTCACAAGATTACGACAACCACAATGTCCACAACAGTGGCAGAGCTTAACGCACTGATGCGTTGCTTTGGTACCTGCCTGTTCCTCAAGGGACTTTGGGCAGATCTCTCATCAGAGACCGTACCTATACATATCAGAACAGATGCGAACAATCTTGTGACAACAGCAGGCACGACACACCTTCCAGAGCAAAAGGAAACTCACCATCTTATACAGATGCTTCGTAAGGAATCCAACTCTGGATCTCTAGATGATCTAGCTCATGTAAGCTCGAAGTACTGCCTAGCTGATGCATTAACAAAGCATTCGGCGCAACCTGATGAGCTTATCAAGGCTCTGGAAACAGGAAATTTACCAGAAACAGACATTCATCCACCCTTCCGTGAACTTCTTCAACATAAAGCTTTCACTGTTCGGTGGATCATAGACAACCTTAAGAATGCCGCTACAGCGGTAGCCTTCCTTGGAATTGATGTCTCAACAGAGATTTACCGATTATTTTACTGCCAAGGAACATGGTGGTAGTCTTGTTTGCTGGTAGCACAACCATGTGCTGGATTTTCTATTTAGACTGTTTTTCGTCTAAAAGAAAATTTGTGTCTGCAAGCTGCGTTTTCCTTAAGATCAGACATGTTCATGAGAACTCTATGTTCTATACCATCCGCAGCCGCTTTCAGCCTCGAGCCTCACAGCAACTAGCCTTTTGAGCTAACCAAGCATTCCTGATCCCGTTTGGTCATTGTGCCGTAATGAGCACACGATCAAATTTCCGTAGCCGTGATGGATACGCCCTACCAAGGGCAGAACAGGCGTACCATGAGCGACATCCACACATGGATAGCTCTTACCCCGAGTCTCGTCGGGACGCATCACGTCGACACACCGAACACGGTGGACACCGATTTCACAAACGTGAGAAAAATAACGAGCCTCCGTACATTTACATGGGTCACCAACAGGTGTTCAATCCGCGTCCAAGAGATCTTGCTGACCTGATCTTACGATGTGGCCATGCGAGTCGAGCAAAGCTCACTCCAATCTCCAAACATGGAGTCAGGCTCTACGAAGGAGTCCTCCAAGGACCATGGGACAACAGTCCCCTTTTATACTGGGATAACAACGTGGGCAATCACGCTCGTGATCCACGCCAGTTTTGTACGATGCTTGCACATCATCTTCAGACTGGCCTCCCACAGGAGGTAAAACAATGTGTGAGTCTTGATGCATCTGGAGAATATGACTATTCCTCCTCAGTGCCAAGACTGGTAGAGGTAACAGGTCTCTCACCAGAGATGTGCTTCCACATTCTCTCCAAGACCAACAAGGTCGGAAGGTGGTTAGCACACTCAACAAGACACCTTCAGAATCAGCGCCAAGATCTCTTTGCTGGCCAACACAATTATCTTCTGGACATGTCCAAGTTGGCCGATGCACAGCTCGCACAATATTCACCACAAGAGATCGCGCTTGGTGTTTTACTTAACACTAAGTCCAGATTCGTGGTCACTATGGTTTATGACCAAGATGGCAGGGCTGAAACAACAATTGCCGCCGTTACCATCCCACAGGATGCAAATGTGATGACCATGACCAAACTTTACCTCTCGGCAGTGGGAGGACACGGTTCACGAAGAACTCTACCAAGAGCTGAAGAACCAGATCCTGAAGAAGAGAGGCCAAGGTCACACATGACCATCTCAGACTTCATGGCAACGGGGAGCAATCCTGTGCAGTCCCATGCGCAGCGTCTCTCCACTAACGCGCCAAGGCCCGTAGGCATGGAAGATTTTGTTCGACAGAACAACCCTTGTTACATCATGCATGCCACGGACTTACATGCACTATCCTCAATCCTGAGGCATGGTCTGGTACCATCAAACCTCTTATCTCAGGTGGTGACCTCACCAGGTCTTCAAGCTCTCGTGAATGAAAACAGTCGTTCCAATAGGGACACTGTCCAGTTTTCATCGCTAACCCTGGCGAATCCTAATCCGACTTTGCTGCGTGCCAACAAGGCACTGCTCCTAGTATTCGACGCAAATAACGTAGTGAACGAAGTCACAAACATGTGGCAGTCGCAAGCGGGGATGTTTGCTACACCAGATGTAGTGCATGCCCGTACTCTTAGCTCCGTATTTGCACCCTCTGAAACACTCTGGGTATCATCACAATACGATGAGCTCAAGAGCATCGGACCATGGTGGGCAGACCACTGCTCCGAACAAATGCCGTCAGCGACTTACGAGTCGAAGAAATGGTGCTCAAATTACGGCAAGGAGATCGAATCGACACTTCGCAAGATGTCAAGGCGAAATCTGCCTCCAGAGCCTCCCAAGGCTAGATCTTCTCACAAAAAGTCTTTCTCTCTGCCAAATACAGAGGCTGACACAGCTCCAAACCAGGAGCAAACCGCTTCTGCAGGTGAAGTACCTCCGAACACGGAAACTACTGCAAAGGAGATCCACCCGAGATCCAAGCTCGCCCGGCAGGCCGAGGCCGACAGGGATCCGGACAGTCTTATGGGACAGCTCTGGAACTCCGATGGCACCAGAAGCGCCACTGAAGTTCTTAAGATAACGACAGGTCACAAACCTCCAGAACCTGTCCAGGATACTTCTGCCAACGTAGTTCCTCCCAAGGAAGAATCTTCTGGAACAGAGACGGAACCTCAGGAACCAGATCCTAACCAGGATTGTGACGAAGAATCAGACGTTGAGTCGGCATCAAGCGAAAAGAGCGAAAAGAGCTCAAAATCTTCGTCATCCTCATAACTCCGAGTTGATGTTAATCCGTCTCACAAGACGAACTCTGCACCTGCAGCGTCAGAGGAGAAGAAAGAATCTCCCACGGAAGAGATCACAGAGAAACTTGAGAAGGTCAAACTTGACCAACCAAAGCCTGAAACAGAATATGTTCAGAGTTCAGACGAAGAGCCAAGAAAACCAAAATCTCCTAAAAAGGAGAAGGAAACATTCCTAGTTCTCTTCGATCCCGAAACAGAAACCTATTATCGAGTCAACAGAAGCAAGCTCAACCTCGAATACGAGGAACCTGCTGATGAGGAAGATCTCGTAAGAGAACACGAGCGCATCAGCGCTCGGATTCGAGAAAATACCAAGCACCGAATTTCGAAGTCACCTTATGAAGTTCGTCGGAGTTTCAAAAAGGTTATCAGCATCTAGATAAGAATACCACGATTGTGGGGACATGTACAATTCCCCTTTGAGGAACTATGTCATATAAACAATTGCAAGGGTAATCATTCAGTATTGCACGAAATGATATTTGGGCTAGCAAACATATTTGCGAAATATATCAAAATGGCGACTGCTGACATGCTGCTCACTCGATTGTTTTACGCTCATCGGCAAACTGGGGATGAATCCTGTTGCCGGGCCCCTCGGCCCGGCATAAGACATGAGCCACAGCTCATCGTGACGTGCCCGGTTTAACCGTGCACCTCGAAGCATAAATCCTGTTGCCGGGCCCCTCGGCCCGGCATAAGACATGAGCCACCCTCGGCCCGGCATAAGACATGAGCCACAGCTCATCGTGACGTGCCCGGTTTAACCGTGCACCTCGAAGCATAAATCCCCCCCAGGGTTGGGCGGGCGGGACAAAATTTTGTTTTCCTCATTCACACTGATTGAGGAAACTGGCAACGGCATGAGACCATGAATAATTCACTCAGCAATTCATGGAAAATAAAAGATCATGCAATCAATAGTGGTGTCCATGAAAAGCAATCCAGTGGAATCAAGAAGAGTGCATCGTCTTCTCTTTTTTTTTTTTGAAACCGCCTTCCCATGGAAGGCTGTCCGACGTTTCATAAAGGTATATCGTGCGCGGTCGACAGAGTTCTTATGAAGTTCGTCGGAGTTTCAAAAAGGTTATCAGCATCTAGATAAGAATACCACGATTGTGGGGACATGTACAATTCCCCTTTGAGGAACTATGTCATATAAACAATTGCAAGGGTAATCATTCAGTATTGCCCAAAATGATATTTGGGCTAGCAAACATATTTGCGAAATATATCAAAATGGCGACTGCTGACATGCTGCTCACTCGATTGTTTTACGCTCATCGGCAAACTGGGGATGAATCCTGTTGCCGGGCCCCTCGGCCCGGCATAAGACATGAGCCACAGCTCATCGTGACGTGCCCGGTTTAACCGTGCACCTCGAAGCATAAATCCCCCAGTCTGCTTTAGCCTTGAGACACAATCGACTTCAGAGCAACCTTCGACAGCGGACACCTGGGCACTTCCACGCGTACAGACCAGTGGCTAAGCTCGGCAAGCGATCCACGGCTCGGGGCGTCTGCAATGTTGGACGCGGATGGCACACGTGCTATCCATAAATAGCACGGTGAAGCTTCCTGCGGGTTTTCAAGGATCATAAGAATTTCCCGCCAAATCGCGACGGATGCATCTCCTTTGACAAGAGTATCAAGTGCTGGCCAATTGTCGACAAACAATATCACTCGGCTGCCGTCCAAGTGTTTGCGCCAATGCCGAAGAGCCAGAATGGCGCCGTAAAGCTCCACAAGACCTATGACATGTTTCTTGCCATCGGATCTCCAATGAGACAGTACGTTTGCCGGCACCTCGCATCCGAAAGCGTAAGCGTTGGGCTCATTCGGTTTAAACATGACCGCCCCCACAGTAGCCGGTCCGTGATCAAGGTTATCATCCTCCAGTGCTCCGTCTGTGAACAGCAGAATCGGCTTTTCTTTCCACCCAGCCCGGATGACACGAGGCTTTCCATGCGTCAATCTTTGCTGAAGAATCTTAAGCGCTTCGATCCCGCTGGCATCAAGGGAGACCGGAATCCTGGAAGTAAACCCTAAAGACCTAAGGTCGTGCATGGCCATGCGCCCTGCTCGGCCCCATATTTGGCCGTCGGCGAACTGGAGCTTGCCAATGAAGGACGGCAGTCGGCAAGGGACTAAGGCCTTGTCCCTGAGCACTTCCTCGATCACTGCATTAAGCTCCTCACACCGCGACGGCTTGTTCCTGATGTTGATTAGGCCCTCCGAGCTCTGGGACACATCCAGAGTAACTCCCAAGACTTCGACACCCGAAGAGAAGGGGGTGCATTTCTCCTCTGCAAAGTCAAACCCCGCTAGCTTAAGGAAACCCTTAACTAAAGCCGAAGTTGACGTGGCCACCAGCGAGTGAGTCGCCATAGGGAAGTCGTCGAAGTATGCTGACCAGCACGCTCCCAAGTGGCACCCTAGGGCATGCAACAGCAAACTGACTCGCAGAAAGTGGTACACCGAGGCCAACGCTCCGAATGGAAGCGTGCGCATGACAAAGCACGAGATGGATCCTGTCTTGGGATCCTTCAAGGTCACCACACTTTTGTCGAAGTCGCAAGGGTTCAACGGTAGTTGTTTGTATGCTGATTTCAAGTCCAATGTGGCGACTTGCATGCTCGCCCCCGGCTTCTGCCAATCAGGATGGACGAGACCTGTCAGTCTCTCTCCGGAGGATAAGGTAAAGTCGACTGCTCCTCGCTTCCGGTAGAAGTGGCACAACACGGAAAGAGACCATAAAAGATGGTCCATCGCCTGAAGCACGATTCGCTCGCTCGTAGAGCAGGCTTGGTTTACAAGATTCTCCTTGAAGTCGTCAATCGGTCTCAAGCGTCCTTTTTGCACAACACAGAAGCGGCGCACCGGGATCCACGCCTCGAATCTCTTTCCAATGTCTCCTGGGGTCATCGGCCCGTCCAACCACTTTTTCTGGGTAGCTTCCTGAAGAGTTACATCGTACAGCTCCTCGGCGTTCTCGTCAAGAGGATCGGCTGACACACGTGCCAGGAGAGAAGCTCTGATGCTGTCTGCATTTTCCATCAACTCGGATTCGCTGATGGAGGCGAGGTACCCTCCTTCCCTGAACACACCAGAAGGGCTCAGGCACCCAACCAAGCGAAAGCCTTGGCGCATCTCAGAGAAGAGACCCTTGTCGGGCCAGTCTATTTCGGCCGCCATCTCCTCCAGTAGCGCCGTCCGCTTGTTGGCGAGGATCTCCTTCACGGACGGTTGCATCTTGGCACGGTGAGCGTGCTCGACTGGCGCCAGCTCAGTCGCTCTGGCCCTCCACTTTTGCAGACGAAGAAGTCTCAACTTGCAGATCTCTGCAGGGGATTTTGTCAGCTGCTCAAACAGGGATTTGATCAAGTAGTCCGGCAACTGCGCAAGAGAGTCAAAAGGATGATATAGCAGCTTGGCCTCTCTGACGAAAGACTCTGGGCTCCTAAAGACCCCGAAAACACAGAAGAGACCCTTATTCCCCCTATTTTCGGAACGCAAGAGCTTGCTCCCTGCGGGGACACCGTGCACATCCTGCGTAAGACATCGCTTGTGATTAAGAGGCGGGGCCCGGGGCAGGAGGCGGGATAGAACTGCAGCGTGCTCTGACAAGAGCTGTGGGTGTAGGCGTCCTCGCGGCTGCTTATGGGCTCGAGCCAAAAGTGGCTGAGCCGAGCCCAACACGTAGTTGAGCCTGGCAGCCTCCGACTCAAAGACATCACACAAGGCCTGGCACATGGCCGGAGGATAAGCTGCTTCCTCCGCTGTGGCGAAGGTGTCATCAGAAGTAAGGCCCCACGTTGCATGTTGTTTACAGCCTGGGCACATCAGAGCCATGCGAGAGATGCCCGAGCTGCTGCACAAGAAAGATGTTTTCTTATCTCGTTCGCTGCCGAAAGCGCAAGCCTGGCAATGCGCGAAGAAACCATGAGCCAAAGGGTACGCAAGAACATGGCAACTCCCAGAAGGTGCTGTTAGTGGGGTTTTCGACGCACCAAGGCACAGAGTGCTGATCGCACAATTCAAGAAAAGCGCATAGTTGCTTGTATATGGCATTGGCAGCTTTGAGCTTGACACAATCTCTGGTGGAGGCCCACGGGACACCCCACGGATGTGAAGTGGTGCGGAGCACTGGGGGGCCCGGGCGAAAGTGACGAGCAGCACTGCAAGTGCCGCAAGGCGGAGCCGCAAACACCATGGCAACACGACGGGATTTGATGACAAACTTGAGGACCTCCCAGGAATGGCTCTGGGTCAAGTCCAGATTGACCATCTTGCACTTAGGTGTGTGGCGGTTGTGAGCATGATCCACGGGCATGATTGCAAAGCCGCGGCTGGCGGCTGTCTGACTGAGGATGGCGGACCCGGCGCACAGCTCGATCACTAGAGGCCCGTCCGCAGGCAATTCAGCGGAGGGGAAGGCCGGACTCGGTTGAGTCAACGGCGCCGAATCAGTGGATACCTGAGGACACCGCAAATCGTAGCCTTGCAAAGGGTACGGCTTCATGGTGGGGCCCTGCTGGACATCACGGCCGGGGATCTTAAACCCTAGGGAGGTCAAGAATTCCCTATCATCGGGAGCTAAACCGGAGAGATGACCCACGGTAAACGCAACCAGAAGAGATCTGGAGCCCTGCCACGGCAAGGTGAAGTGTTTGCAATGCTTAGCATCAAAAGCCCAAGCATGAGTAGCGCAATCAAGTTTGAAGCCTGTCCATGATGCATCTTCGTAGAAGGTTTGATCTGGACCCTCAGGATGCACGACGAAGATGTGTCCACCTGAGAAGGAGGACAATGGCACAACAACATTAGGCACGCTGCTATTGAAGGAATCTTGATGCATCGGAGCTTGCAAGTTCCGATGCACAGACACAGATGTGAACTCGCATTGGGGTGCGACGAGTCTGATACACTCGGCAAGATACTGTGCCACTGCTGGCATGCGCCGCGTGTTGCTGCGAACAGCGGTGACTCCTCCTCGGTTGCATGCACCGACAGTTATGGCCTTAGAGTCGCCATCGGATTCCAGCCAGGTCCGAGTATGGTCCTCGGAAGGAAAAGCGTCCAAAATGGCCGCTATGTTGTTTGCACTGAAGTCGGAAGATTGTAAAAAGTGACTTGCCAAAGACTCGCAAAACGCAAATGCATCATCTAATTTAGCCGCCTTACGGGGCGGCTCCGGGGGAAAACAAGTGGAGTCGTTGAGCGACTGTTCAGCTGTTGGTTCCATACCGACAGTTGAGCCATAGCTCTGTGTGACATTTAGCCCACCGTGCGCCACTGGCGATGGTGGGTCATGCGCGCTCGTCTGACTCATTAGTCACGACGAGGGCGCCTTCTTCGCAGGGCAATCCTTGGCTGGGTGCCCTCTATGGCATCCTTTGACTGCGCACAGGTGCAGTCCTCTGTCGCACCTTTGGTTGGCCACTGCTCGGGAGCATTTCCCTAGCGAATAGTCGAAGCATAAGGCATGCCCCTTAGGCGTAGCGGCCACGCACCCAAGTGCGAGGAGCTCTGCCGGGACTCTGGCATTGGTTGAGCCCTTGCCGGCGCCCTTGCCCCCGCGCCCGCGGCCCTGGCCCTTGCCATTGCCCTTATGGCGCTTGATCGGGGGCTCATCGCCTGAGGAACCATCGCGGCTTGCTCCTGAGCCTACTGCAAGAGGCCTCGGAGTCAGCATTGAAAGAAACTCAGTGCTCTCAAACACTTTGCGGAAAGCGCCGTCACATGGCCGTGATCCTCCTGCCTTCACCTTGATGCCGCCGCGGGTGTGTTCCGCGAGCAACATGGTGAATTGACGATCAGCTTGCTCAATCTGTTTCAAGCTCACTCGCGCATGATTCGGAGGAGGGTCCATAAGCCTGAAAGACATGTACTTTTCAAGCAACTCATCGTGCAAATGGTACGCCAAGATGTTCGCCTGTTCAAAGGCTAGGCCCCTTCGCACTAAGGCGTAGCGAACCATCATGTCAGTGGACACATCACAAGGAGTCACGTTGGGCTTGCTGGCAATCTTTAGGCCGCCTGCAGAGTCCAAGGTAAGCGAAGCATCCTTCTTGAGCCCTGTAAGAAGCTCATGCTGTCTGCTAACAGAATGCTGCCACTCCACATACTGGAGTCTGTCAGATTCGTAGATTGCCACAGCCCGATCAATCAAGGAGTCGCCTGGCTCCATATTGCCCCTCAAGTCGAGACCTTTAAGTCTGGACTGCTGCTCCCGCAAACGTTCGGCCCTGTCTGCTGGAGCTAGTTTCTTGATCGATGAGTCTTCTGTTGCTTCCACCTGCGATCGGATGTCGGATGCAACAGTTGCGTATGCCTCGGCGAACAGACGCCGAAAGCAACTCATCTCTTTAAGGGAAGGCGCAGCACCGAGAACCTTGGTTACCAGGTCGGTGAGAGGTTTCTCGTCTGTCGCCGACGGGTTGAAATGACAACAGAAGGCGAAAGTTGCCATCGTTGTCAGTCCCTCCGCCTCAAGCTTCGCGAAGCTCTCATCAGAAACTCCGATGTCCTTGGCTCTCGCCTTGAAGACAGCCGCACTCTCTCCAAACGACATGGCTCTTTCTTTCTAGACTGTCAAGCTCAGACTAGGGCCCAGCACGCTTTGCAATCACTTTTGTCATCGGTAGCTCCCTAGCGCATCACACAATTCACGTGACAAGCATCGCTCAAGCAGCACTTGTAGTTCTGCACTTCCAAGACACAAGCAGTCACTACGAGATCGCGCTGGTTATTCATCCACGACCGAAGTGACATTTGCATGTTGCCTTTTCTCAGACCCCGCGAATTTCGCCCACGCGTGGCGTTGACTCCTGACACGGCTTTTGAACCTCAGGAGTTTGGAAAGCAGGTGGCGCACGTAGGATACATAAATCTTGGCGCCTCGCTTAAAATCTCAAAACGCACTGAGATCGCTCTACCGCACTTCAAGTGGGTCCCGGCCTCATCTCTCACCTTGTGCAAGAACCTAGTCTGTTTGTGACGAGCCCAAGGCCCGTCGCCGGGCTCGGGGCCCCACTGACCGGCGATCTGCTCCAAGGCCTGCTCCTCGTCACTCACGGGGGCCTCTTCCTCATCATCGGACGCCTCGCTAGAGCTCGATGATATGGCGTCAGCCTCCTCCTCATTCTCAGGTGGAAGCTGTGGATCTGCAAAATTGGCTATCATCCCACTTCGAGTGAGATCCGGCTTGAATCTACCGGAGGCAATCTCGTCGATTACCTGGTCCAGCTCGCGCAATGGAGCCGCTAGTGAATCCCTGGCATAAATGATTAACGACTTGTCCTTACGCGGCACGTGGTAACCCAGAGTGCGACGAGGGCCGGCCGGCACGCCTCTTTTCGCCATCCAGGAGAGCGGTGTACTCTTACAAGAGTGGGTCGCGATCTGGACGTCGCCAGGTGCTGCACTCGCGCCAGGAATCAAGCTTCTCAGCCAGGCGCCTCCACTTGAGACCTTAAGCGGAAGTCTTGTCCACCCGCCTCCGGTTGCGGGGCACGGAAGTGTAGGATAAGAACTATCGAGACCCTCTGCCTCTCGAAGCTCAAGCCATGCTCTGATCCACGGCCTACCTCCTACACATTTCAACGGAACAGCGATGGGAAGGGAGCGGATCTTCCTTTCAAGCGACACCGATGTCTTGGTCCTCTCGGCTTGCCCTTCAAGGTACCCTGATTCCACGCCATCAATCAAAGCTGAATCAATCGCGAAACCTGAAGAGCGTTGCATGTCTGAAAACCGTAGGCGACCATATATCATAAGCAGAAAACACCCAGCTGCGATTCGGTCCATTGGCCGCGCCATGAGGCTGAGCACGAGAGCTTCGAGTCGCTTGACTTGCTCCACGGTTAGAGCAGGCCTGCGCTTAACTGCACACCTCGTCGAGTAATGAGCATTTGCAAGCCCTACGATCCTCCCGCTGCTCAGGGCTTCGTCCAACACGATCAAGCCTAGCAGATGTTTGGCGAAGCTGAAAGCGATAAGCAGCGACCTGAACGAAGTCGGGGCCGCATTCGGATTTGCCTTGAAGTAATCGTAGAGCTGGTGCTCTCTCACAGGCAGGCACACTACGAACTGAAGCTTCCAGAAGTGCACGTATCTGAAGATGGGTCCCACGCGTTGGTGCAAGGTAGCTGTGGCTTTGTCTGCAAGACAGTCCCGCACACTTTCCACCAAGCCTCCTGTGGCAAATTTGGGATCGAAAGGCCCCATGGCTTGCTTGGCTACACCCCAGGCGTTAAAATCCAAGGAAACAAGCGTAACCCACTTCTTCAAGGCACACTTCCTATTAGCATCCAGGGCCTTAGACCTTAGGTGAGCATCTCGGGCTGACAATGGCTTCAGTCCCGCTGCAAGGAATGCTGACTGCGAGGCTCCAAGATCTGGGCCGGAGCTGGATGAAGCGGCCATCGGCCCTGGACCCGGCGCTGGGGGCAAGAGCCCTGTCGGCCTAGGCAAGAGGCAGCTTCTCCTGAAGAGCGAATGCATTTGTTCTGGAGGGCTCGGGAAGATGCCTACCGATCTCTTATAAGCATTCCAAGTATGAGCTGCATGAAAGGCCACTGCCCTACTGTCGAACGGGGCAGATTCATCACCTTCGCCCATCTTTCAGCTCTGCTGCCATCTGCCGCTGTCGGCGACAGCGGCGTGCACGGTGGGCTAAGCCCAACGTCGAGAGAGGGGCCCTGGTTCAATGCAGGGCTCTGAACCTCAAAAGGCCCCAACAAAATTTTGTTTTCCTCATTCACACTGATTGAGGAAACTGGCAACGGCATGAGACCATGAATAATTCACTCAGCAATTCATGGAAAATAAAAGATCATGCAATCAATAGTGGTGTCCATGAAAAGCAATCCAGTGGAATCAAGAAGAGTGCATCGTCTTCTTTTTTTTTTTTTTTTGAAACCGCCTTCCCATGGAAGGCTGTCCGACGTTTCATAAAGGTATATCGTGCGCGCTCGACAGAGTTCGTCTAACCCGGCTATGCAACAGGAAATGCAAGAAAGAATCTGGGTTAGTCGATGGAATCGAAAAATCCGAAGTCCACTCATGATCAAAGATTCTGAGGCTCCTGACGAAGAGGAGTGGGACAGACCCAGAGAGTCAGCATCTGCCTCCTCTGCGCCTCCTAACAAGGAGAGATTTGTAGGAGTACGCAGGACAGCCATGAGCCTTAACCAAAGGATACGAATGTTGCCTCGACCAGACAATCCTCTCTGCGATCTCTGCAAACAGCCTACAGGCTATTTTTGCTATTCCTGTGGAACGATTGTATGCGCAGACTGTCGACTTACCCCACAGGGTAAACAACGGATGTGCGAGTGCGTCTTGCCAATCGATTGCCTTGAGACCTCTAAAGTGAGAGCAGGAATGACCTCAGACGAGCGTCAGTTTTTATACGAGGCCATCCTCACACATGAGGACGTAGATTTGGCAGTCCAGAAAATCAACATGTATTGCGAACACGCAAGAAGTCTGTTCGAAAAGGACCATCCAGGCCTTGATCCATGCAGCCTTGATGATATTAGGAACAATCCTCCGAATACGTATGACAGCTCCACAGAGGCTCCAACCCTGGAGGAATATAAGAGCGTTAACAAGAGTCACATCAACATCAAGGACTCTAGAACAAGCCACCCGGCTTCTTTTCTCACTCTTACTGGCCACGAAGACAAACTGGTGCTCGATGCACATTACGAGATAGTCCGCAATAGGATGGCCGGTGTCAATGAGAAGAGAGAATACATTGAAGGCTCGAATCCAGATAGCGTATCGCTAAACCTAGTGGTATTCAACTGGGGAAATATGGATCGAGCGCCGGTGCCTGCAGGGAATCCCAAAAAGAAGCTCAAACCTGAGAAGGGATTCGATTATCACCCTCTTATTGACATGTGCTTCAACAATTCAGCTCATATTACCCTCGTACTCGAGGCAGGAGCACTTGCGTCAGAGTACTCAATCGCAACCATGCGAAAACACGAATACAGAGGGATGCTAATCCACTCTCCTCCCAAAGAGCCTGAGGCACCCTCAATGTACATCGGAGTCAAGGGTGACCCAACGACAGACATCGCTCTCGTCCACCACTTTTACCGTCATCGAACAATGAAGCCTAAGAATGGTGGTACCAAGAAGCGACTGTGGGCATGCCACGGTGCGGTGTGCCGTCTCACATTCGGGTACCACAGTACCATACCAGAGGCAAAAGAATGGGTCCACCCAAATTCTGGCCAAAGGATGACGAGAGACGAGTTCATGCAGATTATCGGATATGACCCGCTCAAGGGCAAAAATCCTGACAAGGATGGACCCACTGACGGCTCTTACCTCTCACTAGAGGCGTGTCTGACATTGTCGACCCTTGACCCCTCGCCGATTCTCTGTGAATGGAACGGCCATGTCGAGGGTGATGAGCCACCAGAGGAAGACTTTGAGACATACGCAGAGATCTTCTCACAAGAAGCATCTAACGATCTTGACGAGATGTGGTGTACAAAAGGGCCTTACAAGGTCATCACCATCGCGATCGTCCATTTCAACTCGTTCATGACTCATAAGGAGGAACAGAGACGCGAACTGGTGAACGCGTTCCTCAACGAGATTCTCCCTTTTAAACCGGATGTGATAGCGGGAGATCTCAATAATATTGCGTCGAGGCTCACCTTAAAAGGTGGAGACGTTCACCCGCGAAACAGTGTGTTTTCTCTATACCTGGAGAAGAAACTTGCAGCATTCAACAGAATAGCAGGAAGGCACTCACAAGTGCGACATCTTTGCTTGAACAACTCCGACCAGCACAGACTGGCACGTGCAGATCGTCTACCGGCGGACCCGGCGAAGAAAGTTGCTGACCTTGACTGTATCACCAGTTATATCCTTGACTGGAGTAAAACGCCGCACACGGCGTCACCTAGTCCAAGAGATGTTACACCTGCCGCCGAAAGAACATACTGGGAGCGAATCTCAGATATGTGGCAGGACATGAACAACAACAGGGATATTGATATCCGTCTGTTTGTTTCAGTCAAGCAGTACTATTCAACTTTTTCTAACCTTGACCTATGGTTGGGTCCCACTGACAAAGATTGGCACAGCCCATTGGGCTTCACGATACAACCAATCCTTACAAAAGGGAAACACAACCGGTCAGATGCCCAGGTCCAAAAGATCGCTGACAAGCGAAAGGCTTACAAGCAGCGTAATGCTGAATACTGGGGTTACAACGATTCAGTCGTTTACTCATCCGGCAACAGCTGGTACGACAAATCGCAACCATCAGGTAGCCATCACAGATATGGAAGATTCTGGGAGTGGCCACAGCCTGAACGTCCCGGCGAGCCTGAAGGTCCTCCTCCAAGAAGGAACCAGGAATCATCGTCCTCTTCACAACAAGATCTACCAAGATCAAGGTCCAGCCCTCAAAGAACCAATATTGTTGACAAGCTCAACATGTCTTTGGAAGAGCTGGATGGACTAGAAGAAGAACCGTCACCAACAAAAAGTGACATCGAAGAACACGAAAGAGAAACATCAAACTTGATGTCTGCTCAGAGAGATGAAGAGGAACAAGAGGACGAATCCTCCAGGTCGGAGAAGAAGAAGAAGCATCGCGTCCACCGTCTGCTCCGAGCGGCAAGGCACTCAAGAACAGGCTGCAACAGCAGCGGGGTTGTCGGGCTGGTTCGGACACCGCAACCGAGGTGGGGCAAACGCAGAGTCTACCAAGACTGATGAAACTTCACTTCCAGACTCACTAACCCAGTGAACAAGACTTCTCCGTCTTCAGCATCACGTGGAATGTGTTCCTGCTGCTAATGGGCTTACACTGGATGTGGAAGCAGATTACCAGGCCTCCTATCAGATGTATGGGCGCCAACACCAAAATCAAAGCATCAGCGAACCAAAGAGTTCCATTCCTCGAACCCGAGGATGAACCGCAGACGCGTGAACCTTTAGGCCCAACAGGGTAATTCCGGAGAAAACAACTGATCTGGCGACCTATCTGGCATACTTCCCGAAGCGAAGTCTACCATCTCTCAGACAGCGTTACCAGCTTAAGCAGCAAGAGAGTTTTTGCAAGAAGGTGCTGTGCAAAAACTGCCTCCATGCAGTACAAGTTTGCGGAGAATTCGCAGGAATGATCCTTTCCAAAGAGGTGATACACACCACGTGGCACCGAAAGAGATATTGAGGCGCTTCCAACTTACGATGATGCAAGTAACACTCCTCATGACACAATTATTCCAGGATGCCTTGCATGCACAAATGGCCGAGGAAGCCATGCAGATTACCTACACATCGATCCCTAAGGATCCTCGGCAAAGGCCAGAAGGTAACATCTGCACTCCCAAGTGCCGCATCGTCATCAGCGCCCAAGGCAATGCCACTAGGGCCTAACAAGGCAAACATGTCACCTCCACCTAAGAGTCCTCCGCCGCAAGGCGAAAGAACAGTACCTTCTGATCCTCCAAGACCAAAAGGTCCTACCAGAAGAGGAGGTCAAAATCGGCGTTTCAACGAAAGCAGCTAGAGAAGCCCACACAGTGGACTCTGCACCTATGCAGACGCTGCACTTGACCAAGCCAATCAAGGCCAGGCAATTAACGTTACGTGCCGAAACATAGTAATCAAGACACGTCAGCTCTATCGATGCAAACGGTAGAGCAGCCGGCCAGTTTACACAACGGTGCTACCGCACGTAGAAACATATGATGAAGAGGAACCGTGGAGCACGGAGTTCCTACCAATCGTGGAAGTCCTATTCAGGAACTTAAAGCGGCGACGAAACAACTGTCATACATGACAATCAAACGGTAACTATGCCCTCTTGCGAAATACACAGACCTCCTCAGAATCGCACAAGCATTGCGAAGCTCTATCCAGAGAGACAAGGAGGAAAGAAGGAACATCTTGACACCATCCAAGATACTCTAATCCAGAGTGAAATCCTTCTCACAGCACTGAAGGACTCAAGGACAGTCTTTTAACCAATGGTCATTCCTCACTAGAGATAGAGCGAAGAAATACAATCTCAAAAATGTCCTCGAGACACTCTTTGATGACCAAAGCTCTGAGGAAAGACCAATCAGAAATCTGACAATGAAGAAGTCCTAACTCCTTCTGCACCACAGTACTGGAATAGCCTTTATGCCACGCCTTATCTCCCTCAGGAGATGAAAGTGAAAGATCATGGGCGTCCTCAGACGGACGCTTGAAAGAAGAAGGGCTGAAGGGCAAAGGCTAGCAGCCGCACCGGCAAAAGCCAAGGCAACTCCAGTCAGCTCACAAGCTGCTCCAAGGCCGAGCCAAAGGCGACAACATCCACCATGGATATGATACTGCAGATGCCGCCTTCACCAGGGCTGAGAAATAGATTACTCGGAATCTTTTCAAGTTCCGAAGAAGACCAC